GCCAGGCAAAGGCTACCTAGGAACAGCCCTCATTAAACACCCTGGGCATTGAGTCTTTAACAAGCTTCCTGGTTGGCAACATTTTATGAGTTGCTGTCACAGCTTGCTGGGAGAATTAAGCCCATCCAGCGTAACTCCGCCAGCCCTGGTGCTCTAGTGGTTAAGATTCTCTCTTGCTCTCACCGCTTCAGCCGAGGTTTGTTCCCCGGTCAGGAAACCACATCACCTGTCTGTCAGTTATCGTACTGTGGTGGCTGCATGTTACTGTGATGCTGAAAGCTATGCCACTGGGATTTCAAATACCAGCAGGGTCATCCATGGTGGACAGGTTTCAGTGGAGCTTCCAGACAAGACAGAGTAGGAAGAAGGACCTGGCCACCCACTTCCGAAAAATTGGCGGTGAAAACCCTATGAATAGCAGCAGAGCATTGTCTGATAGAGTGCTGGAAGGTGAGAGGATGGCACAAAAAGATGGGATAGGGTTTTGCTCTGCTGTCCACAGAGTCGCTAGGAGTCAGAATTGACTAGATGGCACTAACAACAACAAGAAAATGCAACTCCATTGGGAGAGGACCCTTTGGAAACTTATGTTTGGTTTCCCCCAGACTTTGCCCCATGTGCTTTTTCAAAACCTTTGCTGATTTTGCTTTGGATTCTCTTGCCGTAATCAGTCACAACCGTTGAGTACAATCATATGCTGAGTCGCGAGAGTCCGTTTCACATGACAGGCCAAAACAGTGATATTAGAAGGCAGTGGCAGAGTAATACAATATAACTTTAAAAAAACTACTATAACCATGTCATTATAACTGTGGAAACAATCTCATGGAAGGTAGAAAATTTGTCCAAGATCACATGTGTCGTTAGTGGCAGAATAAGTTTTGAAGCTTAAGAAACAATTCAGTAAACAGTTTTACTCCATGAACTTTAAAATGTTTTTCCAATTTTATTTATCGAATTAAAATTGGTGGTTTAAAAATGAACTTTATTGATATATGGTTTCTAAAACATGCTTTTTAAAATGCAAGTAGGTGGACCCAAACTATCAGTTTGTAGATCGGCCTAGGGCATCGGGTGAAAATATTTTCTGCATACAAACTGTGGCATTGGTAACTTTGTTAGCACCATTTGCCTCTTTGCAGTAAGATTCAAAATGGAATCATATCCTAAGTGAATTTTCTCAGCGGATATCTTGTTTGTATATTTGTGCACCTGAGTAAGGGATGTGAACCTAGAACAGCAGAGTCCGAATCAGTGGCTCTTTTCCAGGCTGCTCATTAGAATCATTTTAGAGTAGTGGTTCCACATTCCAGACCAATAAATCAGAATCTCTGATGGGTAGGGCTCAAGCATCTTTTTTCTTTTTTTTTAAGCTCCCATGTTATTCCAAGGTGTGACAAGCTCATTGAGAATCACTGGTCTAATTAAAATTATTTCTATATGCCAATAAAAATTGTGTTTATTCTATACTAAGTGGCTATTTTCTGTACCTGGCAATATTTGCTTTATGTCTCTGGTTGGAAAAGCATAATTAAAATTAAAATTTAGCAAAATGAAATTGTTTTAATGAAGTACAGATCTGGAGAACCTATTAAGAAAGATATTTATATAGTATTAGTGTTTATTATGTATCAGTTGAAGAATCATAGATTTACCTTTGAGTAGTTAACCAGAAATCAATCATTGTCCATCAAAAGTCATTTAGTAGGCCGGTCCCATGGCTTAGCAGTTAAGTGCGCACGCTCCGCTACTGGCGGCCCCCGTTTGGATCCCGGGCGTGCACCAACACACCGCTTCTCGGGCCATGCTGAGGCTGCGTCCCACATACAGCAACTAGAAGGATGTGCAACTATGACATACAACTATCTACTGGGGCTTTGAGGGGGGGAAAAAAAAGGAGGAGGATTGGCAATAGATGTTAGCTCAGAGCTGATCTTCCTCAGCAAAAAGAGGAGGATTAGCACGGATGTTAGCTCAGGGCTGATCTTCCTCACAAAAAAAAAAAGTCATTTAGTAAATCATCTGAGTCTTACTCATGACCTGGATAAAATTTTAAGAATATTATACTGGGTATATACATTGCATCCTTTCAGCGAGGGAAACTGTTTTGTTTATCATGCACCATCATTGAAATACTAGATTAGTGATGTGAGAGTTTGTGTTGAAGAGGAATGAGATTTTGGTACCAGTAATCAGGTACCAGTAGCTTTCAGAATTTCATGACTGACATTGGAGATGACCGTGTTATTTTGAACATTGATTGGGTAACCCAGCCAGAAAACAAAACAGTCTGACCCTTTGTCTAGAGTACAGTCAATCCTTGATCATATGTTAGAGCAGGGGTTGGCAAGGTATAGCCTGAGGGTTAAATCCAGCCCTTTTCTGTAAATAGTTTTGTTGGAACATAGCCAGGTTCATTCATTTACTTATTGTCCACTGCTACTTCTAGGCTCCAAGAGCAGAGTTGAATAGTTGTGACAGAGACAGTATAGCCTGCAAAGCCTAAAATATTTACTATCTGACCCTTGGCAGAAAGTTTGTCAACTCCTATGTTAGACGGTTGTGTCACACATTAGATGATTGAATCACACATGATTTGCTGATACTCCTAAATAGCTCCTCTTTTTTTTTTAATCATTTTATTTATTTATTTTTTAATTATTTATTTATTTTTTCCCCCCCAAAGCCCCAGTACATAGTTATACATCATAGTTGCACGTCCTTCTAGTTGCTGTATGTGGGATGCGGCCTCAGCATGGCCGGAGAAACGGTGCGTCGGTGCGCGCCCGGGATCCGAACCCGGGCCGCCAGCAGCGGAGCGCGCGCACTCAACCACTAAGCCACGGGGCTGGCCCTAAATAGCTCCTCTTAAGCTGAGTTTGGTCTTTCATACACAGGTGATTGGAGATGATTCAGTTTTTAGGGTTTTCAAAGGGAGGTTGCAGTTGAGGGAGAGGGATTTGCCTTGGCAATGAGGGGAGTATGCTGGTGGTCCTCTGATGCTCCTACTCTAGGGGGCCAGAAGTTTGTTTACTCACCTGAGGAGGGTGTCTCCTTGCCTAATTCACCCTCCATGCTCTTCCACAGCACATTCCTTGCTGTTGCTCCCTCTGCTGGGGGTGGGCATGGAGTAGCAGGTGACTGGAGAACTGGAGAACTTCCACTGCAGTCTCTGGGGATAAAGACGATTTTTCACCCACCTTGATAATAATAGATCTGGATGTTGAAGTTTAAAGATTAGGAATGGCTTAAGCTTTTTTTTTTTTGTGAGTACGATCAGCCCTGAGCTAACATCCATGCCAATCCTCCTCTTTTTGCTGAGGAAGACTGGCCCTGGGCTAACATCTGTGCCCATCTTCCTCCACTTTATATGGGACGCCGCCACAGCATGGCTTGACAAGCAGGGCATTGGTGCGCGCCGGGCATCTGAACCCCAGGTCACCAGCAGCGGAGCGTGCGCACTTAACCGCTACACCACCGGGCCGGCCCCAGGAATGCCTTAACCTTTAATCCTGGTCCAAATGGAGAGTTCAGGAAGGTGTGGAGGTCTTGTGGAGAGAGCATATCTGGCTCAGTTCCCGTAGACTCTGGTGCAGTCGAGGGGTAGCTGCTCACCTTTGAGCTCTCAGCCACACCTCCACCTCGGGCACCTGATTGCCGGTGAAGCCTCTCATCTACTTGCTGGGTTACTTACACCTGAAAAAGCAGTACGTGCAAATACAGCAGAGATTTAAGAATATAAACATTTTTAAGTTTTCGAAGAACATAACCCCCCTTTCTAATAGGTCTAATAGGTAAAGCTCTTAATCAAGTTTTAGCTCTTTGATTTTCAGTTACGTTTGTAGAAAGGCATTGCATACAAAAGCAAGGAAGTACCTGTAAATAAGATTAAATGTGTAATGATATTCTGGTAAACACAGGCAACCTGATCATCAGAACTGCAAGTTTCTTTTTTTTTTTTTTAATTTTATTTTTATTATTTTTTTAAATTTTTTTCCCCCCAAAGCCCCAGTAGATAGTTATATGTCATAGCTGCACGTCCTTCTAGTTGCTGTATGTGGGACGCAGCCTCAGCATGGCCGGAGAAGCAGTGCGTCGGTGCACGCCCAGGATCTGAACCCAGGCCACCAGCAGCGGAGCGCGGGCACTTAACCGCTAAGCCACGGGGCCGTCCCCCAGAGCTGCAAGTTTCGACTGAAAGTTATAGTTTTGAGAAAAATATTGGGGTTATTCTTTTTTTGAGGGGGCTTAGGATGCTTACTGTAAACTTTCATTAATAAATGTCAAGCTATTTGTGACTTCAGAAGATTATAATTTTTTATAAAATATTTAAGGTGGTTTCAGGCCAAAACCTCTGAAATTATTTGAAATCTGATGATTTAGTTTATTCTCTTTGTGATTTAGGTCTAGATCTGTGCCTGAATGACTTTTCTACTGAGTTTAGTTAGTTATAGCCAACCTTTAAAAATGTATCGATAGGGGCCAGCCCAGTGGAATAGTGGTTAAGTTCCCGCACTCTGCTTCGGTAGCCCAGGGTTCACAGGTTCAGATCCCAGGCATGGACCTATGCACCGCTTATCAAGTCATGCTGTGTGGCAGGAGTCCCATATAAAGTAGAGGAAGATGGGCACGGATGTTAGCCCAGGGCCAATCTTCCTCAGCAAAAAGAGGAGGATTGGCAACAGATGTTAGCTCAGGGCTAATCTTCCTCACCAAAAAAAAATAAATAAAATAAAAAATAAAAATATATCTATGCTAAAAGAGGAGTTCTGGTTGTTGATTTTCCTTTTCCAGAGGTACTGAGAAATAAGGGACCTGTATTTGGGTGCAGTTTTCTAGATTGTGATGGCCCTAAGTGCTATCGGTGTTTGAAGACTTGCACTTTTTGCTTTTTTTTAAGTATTTTAAGTTTTTACTTAGCTATGTTTATGGTATGTGATTTTCTAAGTATACTCTCCTCCCCCTACTAACTCTCATCCCTTCTTTATGTAATAGATCAGCGACTATCATCTCTTCTACAAGATGAGTAACAGCCACCCTCTTCGCCCCTTTACTGCAGTGGGGGAAATTGATCATGTGCACATTTTGTCTGAACATATTGGTGCCTTGTTGATTGGAGAAGAATATGGCGACGTCACATTTGTTGTGGAAAAGAAACGTTTTCCTGCCCACAGGGTAATTTTAGCAGCGAGGTGCCAATATTTTCGGTAAGTGTGTAATACTTTTTGAAGATTCAAGTCACTTGTAGAAAGCCCTGGTATTTTCTACTCTATGAAAAATATGTAACAAAGCATAACAGCAAATTCTAGGAGTGCTTCAATTGAACTTCTATAAGAATTTCATCTTTGTAGACTTTTTGTTATTTTTTGAAAATCCCCTTTTCCTTCAGGAACCGTCTTAGAATTAAGGGGTTAGAAGACTTCCCAGGCTAGACTGTACCTGATCAACCATTTTTCAAGGTCTCAAGAATATTTCTCAGGCTGAGTCTTAATTGCCCTCGCCTTCTCCTTACAGCTGATGACTAATGGAACTTATACTGACTTATTGGCAGATAGGCTTCTGGTTGTATAGGTAGACTGACTCTAGACTTGCTAATGAGCATGTATACCTCTTAGTTTCAGACTACTGAGGTCCAGGACCTGTAGGTAACCCCACAGATCTGTCTCTAAGACATGCAGTTTGACAACCGTAAATTAAAGGAAACTTAAGTATTTGCTGAGACTAAGTTTCATAGTTATATTAGAACTAAAACTAAACAAAATATTTGTGTATTAATTAATGTAAAAATCCTACTAATACTTATATGTAGCTATTGTTTTTTACTCAAACCCTTAATTTCCAGGGTTATAAATGTTAAACTGAACTCTAATTACTCTACATTTTACCTAATGTTAGTTAAAATGGACTCATCACTGAATTATTGACTGAGTGATAATTTATTCTTGATAAGTCCATAGAGTCCATATCCATAAAATCATGGATTTGCCTGGGAAACTTGATCTAAAAATTGAGATGCCAGTGGCTTAGAGAAAATTTCAGTTACCGTCTAGTGAAAACTATAGGCTGATTTTTATAATTAGAATTAACCGAGTCAGCAACACAGCAATACCTAGAGTAGTGAACTTCACACATTGCAGTGAAGTTTGTCTCTTGGAAATATTTACTATTTAGCTAGAACTCATACAGTACTTTATACACATTTTTTAGTACGTTCCATCTTGTAAATATAAAATGCCACTGTAGTGAAGCTAAGAGCTTAGAAAAGAGAGGAGTCTATTAAGAGTTCTAGCTACCACTCTCCTGTTCCCTTATAGTGCTCACCGCTACCAAGGCAGCTGGCCCTGGTCTAGTCATTATTTGTTACCAGCCTCTGTCCTCTGCACACTTTTCCTTTTCTGTTTCTTTTCTTACTTTTGGTCTATTCATTACTATTAAAGTGTTTTTTAAGAGTCCATTCTTTATTAAGTCAGAACTTTTCAGCCATATGTTTAATATTTGTTAATATTATATACCTTACCCTCTTTCACAAATAATTGGAGACAACTGTATGTAGGTATCTTTTAGGTGATCAGTATATTCTTAAAAGAAACTCAGATATTTTTAGAAATTTGAAGATCACTTTGAGTGAATGGAATATATCCCCCTCACTTATTGACCTTGTTCTTGATGTGTCTTTGTGGATATTGAACCTTTATGATATCTGATGGCTCACTAGGCTAAACTCAGAGCCATTACCAATGCTATCTTAGACAGATTCTCATTGCTGACGCTGTTCATGTGCAAAGGAAAGTTAACTGTTAGCAGTCAGGAGAGGCCTGCCTAAGTGTCATAGAGCCTGTCAATTCCAGATAAGGACAAGCTAACTGTACAGGAGGGAACTTTCCACAAGTTGGGGGGCTCATATTTAGGGTTCCAAGGCAGCCTCATCAAACCACTTTTAAAGCATTGAGAGAATCTAGGTAAATACCATCGATCACACTGGATTGGGAGTAGATCTTGGCAAGATCTTAAAGTCATGGTTGGATGCTCTCTGAATTAATGAGAACCTTCAAAGGTGTTTTAGGCAGCGTATAACGGTGTGAAGAGATGTGCTCAGAATATTGGTGAATCTTTTGCTGGATGGTTTCATCTATTTCCCTGAAGCAAGCAAGAATACCAGGTCCTGGGGGAGAGTGGGAGGAGTTCCAGGCAGGTATGGAGGGAACCGTTGAAATGCTAGTCCTGCTCTGAGCTCTTAGGAACAGGGGGAGTCTTTTTTGCCTCCTTATTCTCTTGCTCTCACTTTTGCACGTTTTCTTTATCATTCTTTACTCTTCCTTGTCTGCACTCCTCCCTTGTCCTCCTCTGGCCGCCCTTCCTTCCTGATGGATTGGAGATTTAATTGGCTCATATTATTCCTCCTAGGGTAGTAGAGGTAAAAATTCAAATTCATTACCTGACTGGATTGTCTAGTTCTTATTTTTTAGATGAACAGATAAGCAATAATGTGGGGATTTTTTTCAATCTGAAAAATACTGAGAGACAGAAATAAAAGTCAAATCGTCCATAATCCCATCACCAATTTCATTTTTAATTTATAAAGTAACAAATGAAAGTCCTTCTCTCCCAACCATCTAATCTTATTCCCCAGAGACAACCACTGTTAACATTTTAATATGAATTTCCCCTGATTTTTCTCAATATAGATAGGTATTGTGTATACACATATAAGTATGTGGTATACACTTTTTTCCCTGCACCACTTACAGATCTGCAACTTGACTTACTCACCTACTATATCCTGGACATCTTTCCAAGACAGTATATTGATCTCCCTTGATCTTTCTAATGGCTACATAGAATGTGTATATCACAGTTTTTTCAACCATGTTCCTGTTGATGGACATTTAAGATTTTTTTCCAATGCTTCCATTGTTGCAGAATATATTGTAATACATTTATTTTTACCTTGCTGAATTATTTCTCTAGAATTGAGTCCTAAAAGTGAGATTAGAGTTGAAGGGTATGCACATTTTATAATTTTTTTATTTATTTATTTCCCCCAAAGCCCCAGTAGATAGTTGTATGTCATAGTTGCACATCCTTCTAGTTGCTGTATGTGGGACGCGGCCTCAGCATGGCTGGAGAAATGGTGCGTCGGTGCGCGCCCGGGATCCGAACCCGGGCCGCCAGCAGCAGAGCGCGCGCACTTAACCGCTAAGCCACGGGGCGGCCCAAGGGTATGCACATTTTAGATTTGAATAGATATTACTTGAATTACTTTCCAGAAAAAGGGTCCCCATTTATACTCTCAAAGCAGTGCATGAGAAAACCTGTTTTTCCATTTCTTTTGCAGCACTAAATATTAACAGGCTTTTTAATTTCTGCCAGTCTGACAGGGGAGAATGGCACCTGAGTGTGTTTGTTTTTATCTGATTATATGTTTTCTTCTAGAGTTTTACTTTTCAAACTGCCTTATTGACCTTTAACATGTTTATATTGATTTCACTGTTCCTCTTAAGAGAGCACTTGCATCTTTCTATTTAATGAATGTCTATTACGTATGTTGAGCTCTCAGGATATTTCATTAGTCCAATTGTTTATAGAATTAATTCAAAATAGTTTTAAAATCATTTCTTTAGAGAACTATTTAAAATGATAACTGCATTTCTTCATATGCACTGAATCTTTGTGAGATTAAACAAATTTATGTTTGTATAATGTTCATAACCGTTATTTCATAATTTTGTAGCAAATCTTATTTGAGGTTTTCTTCATGTGTTTCTTCTCTGATGTGCAGAGCATTACTGTATGGTGGAATGCGAGAATCTCAGCCTGAAGCAGAAATCCCTCTCCAAGACACCACTGCAGAAGCATTTACAATGCTCCTCAAATACATCTACACTGGGCGGGCGACGCTGACAGATGAGAAGGAGGAGGTGCTGCTGGACTTTTTGAGCCTGGCTCATAAATATGGCTTTCCAGAGCTGGAGGATTCTACCTCTGAGTATCTCTGCACCATACTTAACATTCAGAACGTCTGTATGACTTTTGATGTTGCCAGTCTCTACTCACTTCCCAAGTTAACTTGCATGTGCTGCATGTTTATGGACAGAAATGCTCAGGAGGTGCTCTCAAGTGAAGGCTTCCTCTCCCTTTCTAAGGTGTGTCATTGTCTACAAGTAATTTACAGGCGTGCATTATTTTATTTATACCTCTACAGTAAAAATATAGCAATTCACTAAAAATAAAAAAATAAAAATCATCAGTGTGAAAGAGGCTGTCTATCTAGCCACCTGCCTCTAGCTACTGAGACTCTGGATCGTATAAGAGAGAGGCAGATTGCTTCTGTTTTCTTTGAAGGTTCTTCTAGTAAATTCTCTGTGCAAAAGTGACTATGCTGCTGGGTGGTTGTTTTCAGTGTGTTGACAGCAGATAGGCTCCTTTGTGGTGTTGCAAACTATTTTTTGGTTTTGTATTTCTCTGACAGAGAATGCAACTAATAATTCCTTCTAATGAGAGGGAAAATTCATAAAGGAGATCTGATGCATCATTGGATGTCTTTTAAGTCACTGCCTTTTTTTTTTTTTTTTTTTTCCTGGTTCAAAATTCACTGTTATATGGTGTAAAATACGTGTTTTGCACTGTATAATAGCTAGAGTAAAACCATTTTGCTCCAATCTTTCTCTGAACCCTGGTGGTTGTCTCTCCTTTCCTTTTCTGTGTTCCTCCTAGGACCTGAATATTTCAAATGAGAAAAGCTATTTGAAAAGCTACGTATCTTGGTTTGAGTGTAAACTATGATTTTTATTATCCTACTTAATTTTTTGAGGCAGGAGTCTTCGAGGGTTGCACCAGTGTGGCTGGAGGTCAGTCTGGAAATCTGAAAACCAAAAATATGGTAGTGCAGTAATACTGTGGAACAAAAGATTTTGAATTTTAAATGCCAGATGTATCTTACTGATTTACAAATGTAAATTCTTCTGAAGGACCTGTAAGGACTAGCAGCGTCTCATGTTGCCTCTTTTCTTCTTCTTTTATTAAAGATGGGGGTGGATGTGTTGGAAAGACTAGATGTTTGATGTAGTGGTACAAGATGCCTATGGCTATTCACACAGCCATAACGGACAGGAGAGTGTGTGGCACAAAGAATAAGGAAAGAAGAAGGTCAAAAAGAGTTAATTGTTTAAATATCAGTGATACTTGCAGTTCTGTAAGGTTTTACTGGTTGATCATGCACATGGTTTAGCTCCATAATAACTCAGATTTTTCCTTTTTATCCTTTTCAGACAGCACTTTTAAACATCGTATTAAGAGATTCATTTGCAGCTCCCGAAAAAGATATTTTCCTAGCCTTGTTAAACTGGTGTAAGCACAATTCGAAGGAGAATCATGCTGAAATCATGCAGGCTGTGCGTTTACCTCTGATGAGCCTCACTGAACTTCTGAATGTTGTGAGGCCTTCGGGACTGTTGTCTCCTGATGCCATTCTGGATGCTATTAAAGTTCGATCAGAGAGCCGGGATATGGACCTCAATTACAGAGGCATGCTCAGTGAGTACCTGTTTATCCTAATCTCACCAAGAAGTTTTGTTTGCATCCTATGAGTCTCAGCTACAAAACTATAGTGCAGGTGTACGTGGTGTCTGTGGGTCTAAGAACATAACAGTTCTGCTTCCTATGGGATGCCTTTCCCTGTCCCTTCTGTTAATTCCTCCTGAGATTGCCTAGCCTTTGTAGACCCCAAAATAGGTATTTCTTGCCGTTCCTGGATAAATTTCTTCAGCTGCCCCCTAGAATGTCAGTAATAGACACTTTCCTGAAAAGCTTGTTCTCATGCTGACACCTTTCCTCCCTTCCTCCATCAAATCAATACTGAGTACATGCTATGTACTTATTGTTATTTTAGGTACCATGAATATGGAGATTCTAAATAACAATAATAATAGCTAACACTTATGTAGCATTTCCAATGCTTGCGTGGTAATTTTTCTTATTAATAAAAATTGTAGCAATTAACACTTATAAAGTGCTTATTTGTATCAATAACAGTCCTACATGATCATTTAATTCTCACAACAACCCTTTGAGGTAGGTACCATTATGCCTCCATTTTACAAATGAGGAAACTGAAGCACAGAGAGGTTAAATAACTTGCCCAAGGTCACACAGAAAGATGCAGAACTGAGAGTCAGACCTAGGTAGTTAGGCTCCAGAGACTGCATAATTAACTGCTAAACTATGCTGCATAAGTGCAAAATATAGTCTCTGCCTTTGATCCTTTTAATTTCATTGTGGAAATAAGACATACTCCCATGAAAAGTTAAATGCAACAACGATCAAGATGGGTACATACTGCGAACTTCAGAAGAGGGCGTGGCTTGGAATGATTTTGGGAGATTTCACAGAGGTTGTGAAGCTTGAGGTGAGCCTTGACCTTTGATTTGAGTGGCATCAGGGTGGGGTGCATTTCAGATGGGAGGACTGGTGAGGAAAATAGACCGAGGTTAGAGCATTTGAAGGGCCATGAACAGAAGAGCTTGCCTAGAGTAGAAGGTTTATGTTGATTAATAACAAAATCTGTAAAGGTCAGCTCAGGCAAAATCATGGAAGTCTTTGAAACTAGATTGGGATTTTGCTTATGCACAGTGAGAAGCTGATTTTAGAGAGGGGGAGAAGCATGAGGACAGTCGTGGTTTTGAAGTATTGATCCATGGTGCTGGACTTGATGATTTGGAATAGGGGAAAACTGGATTCAGGGAGACCAGTGAGGAGGGTATTTAACTTGTACACTATTGATACAACCTTAAAGTACGTGGCAGGGAAAATGAAAAATAATAGATGTGTAGAGGAGATACTTTAATTTTTTTTTTAAAAAATTAGAGCTTAGTGATTCTAGGGATTTAAATTTGAGGATTAAGTTTAGGAGGAAGTTATTTTATCAAATCTAAGAAACCAGAAATTCTGCGGCATCATTGTTCTATGTACAACTAAGAAAGCAAACAGGGCCGGCCCTGTGGCTTAGCGGTTAAGTGCGCACGCTCTGCTACTGGCGGTCCAGGGTTCAGATCCCGGGCTTGCAGCGACGCACCGCTTCTCTGGCCGTGCTGAGGCCGCGTCCCACATACAGCAACTAGAAGGATGTGCAACTATGACCTACAACTATTTACTGGGGATTTGGGGAAAAAAAGGAGGAGGATTGGCAATAGATGTTAGCTCAGAGCTGGTCTTCCTCAGCAAAAAAAAAAGAAAAAAAGAAAGGAAACAATCTTGCCAATTAAACTGTGACACACTAGTATGTCTATATCCCAATTTCAGAAATGTTAAAATTTGAAAAAATGTGTGTCTTAGAATAAATGGAACATGGTAGTTCTTTGAAGAAGATGCTGAGCTTGTCTTTAGACTTATTGAGTTGGAGGGTTTCCAGGACATCTAAGTTCTGTCTCACATTAGTCATTTCCCTGAGTGATCTTTTCCTTGACCGTGGCTTCAGACACTCTTCTTGAAATACTGATTGACCTTAAATAGATGTCCTAGGCCTGGACTTCTCTCCTGACTCATCAGATTTATATTTCTTTTCATCGGGCATAGAAGAGAAAGCATAGGTTTTTGGAGCCAGCCAAATTTGACTTCAAATCCTGAATTAGTCACTCCTGGTTGTATGACCTGGTATTAAATTAAATAAGGAATTTTACCTTTAGTTTTATATCTCCTAGTATTGTTATGAGAATTAAATGAAATAATGTGAGCAAATAATATGTGTAAGCTCAATATAGGAAACCATTGTTATATTATCATTATTTGTGTTCTTCTTCGTTTGTGTAGGAATTATCATGTTGTTTTAACCATTTTTGTTTACTTATCTTTGGTCCGTGAAGGCAGAGATGATCTTTGTAAGGCCTCTTGATGTTTATGTCCTCAGAATTTTACACACTGAATAGCATACAGCAGACACTTGGTGAGTGAATGCAAGGAGAAATGTCTAATAGCAGTGGAAGCACGTTACTGTGTTTAAAAAGCAGTCAAAGCTGGTGATAAAGGAGTTGAAATCTGGGCTAGAGTACAGAGAAGGAAAGTAACAGTCAAAGTCTGGGTCTTGGAGAAGACCTATAGCCAGGGGGCTGAAGGTAGGGAAGGAAGAATTCGAGAGGTAGGAGAAAACTGGGATAGGGTTACAGAAGTCAACAGAAGAGAGAGCCTTTGTATGGAGAAGGTGGTCGATGGTATCTAGTGATGCTGGGAGGTCAGGAAGAATGAGAATTGAGAGAAAACTTTTGGATATAAATTGTGGTGAGTTGGTAAGTAGTCTGGATAGAAGCTTGGCTAAACAGGGAGTTAGGCCATGAGTTTGAAAAGACAGTAAATACATCTGATATGGGAATTGAAGTGAAAGGTAGTAGAGAAACAGTAACTAGAGGGATCAGGTTGGGAGAGGTCCAGGAAGAGATTGGAGGTGCTAGAGAATGGTGCTAGTTGAGGGTCAGCCTTGGATAAATGTGGGAGGATGGAGTGGGGAGAGGTAACAAGATGAGTAATATAATTTTAGCCTTTCTAAATCCTCATTGGGCCGGCCCCGTGGCTTAGTGGTTAAGTGCGCGCGCTCCGCTGCTGGAGCCCGGGTTCGGATCACGGGCGTGCACCGATGCACTGCTTGTCAGGCCATGCTGTGGCGGCGTCCTATATAAAGTGGAGGAAGATAGACACAGATGTTAGCCCAGGGCTAGTCTTCCTCAGCAAAAAGAGGAGGATTGGCGTGGATATTAGCTCAGGGCTAATCTTCCTCACAAAAAAAAGAGGACCCAAAGGAGGTTTTTAACTTACCAGTGATGATTCGTCTTTCTGGGAAGATGAACTATTTTTATATATATTTATATATATTTTGGACTAGTTATAGATATATATAATGATGAACATTTGTCTATACACTTGGGGAAAGGGAACTAACCTTTTATGACATTATTTTTTTTCCTTAGGGTATTTGAACTTCTTGTACTCAGATGATTCCCTTACTGTTTAGTTTTGTCTTGGCTGTGGAGATACTTCTGCCTTGAAAGTTAGTGCTTTTTCTATTCAGGCTGAGTTATACTTTGTTTTGTGTGTCTCGGGTTTTAGACTTTGGGAAAGAGAACAGTAATTTCTTGTTTCTTCATGTTTACAGCAGGGGCATATCACCACTTCCATCCTCGAGATTTCTTTATTGGATAAAAGTCAGTCTGTTCGTAGGCCTGCTGAGTTAAATTATTGGTTAATATATAAATGTCTGTGTGTATTTCAGTCTGTGCTGTAGGTACAAGGTACCATGTACCTATTCCCATAGTTTCCAGTACCACAGACCGAGGGAACTTGCCACTGTGATGTTAGAATTGTTGCTTTTCTTGCCTAGACTCCTACTAGACTGAGCTTCTTGAAGACTGTAACTGTGTCTTCTCACTTGTATTTTCCAGCATCTAGCACAGTGCCTGAATCTAGACTTTTTAAAATAAATAGGTGAGGGCCGGCCCCGTGGCTTAGCGGTTAAGTGCGTGCGCTCCGCTGCCGGCGGCCCGGGTTCGGATCCCGGGTGCGCACTGAGGCACCACTCCTCCAGCCATGCTGAGGCCGCGTCCCACATACAGCAACTAGAAGGATGTGCAGCTATGACAGACAACTATGTACTGGGGCTTTGGGGGAAAAATAAATAAATAAAACCTTTAAAATAAATAGGTGACTTAATGAATCCATCCCTTGCTTCTAAACTAGAATTTAAAATTTATCTCACTTATCATATAAAAACAGTAATAACAACAATGAACCTTTAATCTTTTAAAACTCTTTGACTTCTATTACTATTTGTCTTCCCAACTATAGTTTATAGTATGTTCATCTGTAAACTAGGGGTTCACAAGTCATCTCTACTGAGTCTTCCTCTGTGGAGGCATTTGCTGTCTGCTATGTATCTTGTCTCCATTGGATGGTGAGCTGTTGGAGCGCTGAGTCCAACTCAGTGACCAGCACATAGAAGGTAGCTTAGGAATTTTTTCTTCTTTAAATAAGTAGGGTGAAGGTCCCATTCAGCTCTTATATGTTTTCATTCTGTGATATTTATAAGTAACTTGCCTAAAGTTAGCAAGTGCTATTGATGCCCATGCTGGAACCAAAGTGCTGATCTCACTCACATGACTAGTGCTTGATAGAATCTCCTGCCTGGGTTATTTTCTATTTCTGTTTTGTGGGTCTTTGAGTACCAGTTCAGTCTGATATGAAAGGAGACCTTCAGACAGTGGAGATACAGCAAAGGTAAGGTAAGACAGGAGTTGTCATGACAGTCATTGGTAATGGCACACTTATTGAGGGGAGCATCCGTACATCTTCAGGGAAGTCGAGTTGGGAGTAGAAGATGATTTAGGAGAGAGATTGAGTAAAGAGATTGCAGTGGGCAGAGAACTAAGTGTGGATCCAAAGGATCAGTCAGGGTGAACAACCATCTCAGCCTAGATGTAACAGCGAGTTTAGGAAGGGATGATTAAGAACGCAAAGCAATTAAAGAAAAACACACAATAATCCGTCTAGCACCACTCAGATTCTAGAACTGTGTAGCGAGGGGCAGGCCCTACTCCATTTCTCTGTAGTTTTTCTTTTTAATAATTGGCTTGTTTCCATCTAGCCTGTAGAACTTCAAAGCTTAATTTTTTTCCTTAATGTTTGTGAAATGCATCAAAAATTACAAATGTGAAGAAAACTATTATTGTTATTTACTATCTTGTTTAATCCCTACCACCCTAAATATTTTTTTTAATAAATTTATTTATTTATTTATTTATTTATTCCCCCAAAGCCCCAGTAGATAGTTGCATGTCACAGCTGCACATCCTTCTAGTTGCTGTATGTGGGACGCGGCCTCAGCATGGCCAAGAAGTGGTGCGTTGGTGCGCGCCCGGGATCCGAACCCGGGCCACCAGCAGCAGAACGTGCGCACCTAACCGCCAAGCCACAGGGCCGGCCCAACCACCCTATATTTTTCGAGAGCTCTTGTCTCTACCGATAGACAAATATAAGCAATAAGAATATTTATGGTTTATTTTATTATGACTTGAATTTTCTTATCGCTTTTTCTCTTAAATTCATCATTTAACTATAGATTTTGCAAAAAAATACTTGAAGTTGTGTTTTTGTCCTGTGAGATACTCAGATTATAGTTACCGTGAGAGAATTTCCACTTGTGTAAATGTTCCCCATTTTGAAGTGAGAGATACTTTCAGGGAGTCTGTATCAGGAACAGTTAGAAAAGTTCTCAAGTACTCTTGAAATGAACTTCAAAAGAAGACTTAGACTTGTAGTAGAAGTCTTCCATTTTAGACTTTTAGTTACAGTTACTTGGAACTCTTGTGCCTAGTATGTTATTCCTAGCTTGATAAATTTTAGAGGCGAAGAAGCTTATATTTAGAGAAAATCAAAGGATAGCGGCAGTTTCTAAATCTGAAAGCTTGAATATTCCCCTTTTTGGCTTGGTCTTGACTGGTGGTGTCAGAACTGGAGGAGGTGGTTCCAGTGGTCAGCTGCAGCAGACTTTGGACCGGCACATTTTATACCTAGCAATCAGGAAACAAATGCTTCTTTGTGTGTGTGTGTGTGTGTCTTCCTTCACTCCTCTGAGAATCTCTGCCGGCAGGAGGGCTCTGGGCCCCAGGAAGGCACCTGGAGGGAGAACTCAGCCTCCTTGGGTTTTTTTTTTTTTTTTTTTTGAGGAAGATCAGCCCTGAGCTAACATCCATGCTAATCCTCCTCTTTTTGCTGAGGAAGACTGGCTCTGAGCTAACATCTATTGCCAATCCTCCTCCTTTTTTTTTTTTTCCCCCAAAGCCCCAGTAGATAGTTGTATGTCATCGTTGCACATCCTTCTAGTTGCTGTATGTGGGACGCGGCCTCAGCACAGCTGGAGAAACGGTGCGTTGGTGCACGCCCGGGATCCGAACCCAGGCCACCAGCAGCGGAGCGCGCGCACTTAACCACTAAGCCACGGGGCCGGCCCTAGCATATATTATTGTAGTATGATATTTACAGTAAGCCTGTGAGTGGGTTGGGCAAAGTATTATTATTTTTAGATGAGAAAGCAGATTCAGACAGACTAAGAGGCTTCACTCAGGAGTAGTGGATAGTAGAGCCTGAGTCTCAAACTTAGGTTTTCTCACTTTAAGTCCACCTTTTTTTTTTTTTTTTTCCCCCTATATCAGACTGTTTCTTTCCTCTGGGACTTAGGTAACCTTAGAAGGAAGGGGTTGGAAAGAGGAGGAAAATATGGTTTTCCCATTAGAAACCCTTCATGAGGGAGGTGGCAGGGCAGAGCCCCTGGAGACGGACTGCCTGGGTTCTAATCACAGCTCTGCTACTTGCTGGCTATATGACCTTGGGCAACACAGTCCTTTTAACCTTTCTCTGCCCCCAGTTCCCCATCTGCAAATGGATGTAATAGTAGTACTACACTCAAAGGATTATTATGAGGAGTAAGTCAAAGGAATTAATAAGGTTTGTTAAATAAATGAAAAATAAATATGAAGAATGTGTATGATTACCGTGAGCTAATAGAACTTAGGAAGTTATAAATCTGTAGCACTTAAGCTTCTGGTGGTGAGAAGTTGAGCATGACTAGCGTTTGTTTTGTTTTTTCCTGAGTTGCCTTAGTCTTTTGCAAGTTAACTAACCCACTCCAACCCCCATTCACAGCTGCATTTATTGTCATCTTCTGGAGCCACTCTCTTTACTTGTCTTCATTTGAATTTTTTTTTTAAAACCTACATTTTCCAAGAAATTTGCGATGATGAATTACTTACCTGCTTTCCCTAAGAGCCTAATTATAGTTCATACTCCCTCCTATTCAAATCACATAGCCAAGATGTATGTGTACTATGAGAATACAATATTTGTTTACAGTCTGTAAACTTGCCTAGTTCTCTTTTTATTGTGTGCTTTTTAATATATGTTTCATAATAATAATGGCAGTCTTTTTTTAGAGCTTACTATGTGCTTTGCAAACATCATCTCATTTAATCCTTAAAACAAATAAACAAACAAAAACACCTAGGGGATAGATATTGCCCTATTGAGAAATTGAAGTTCAGAGAAGGTAACTTCCCCAAAGTGATACACCTGGTGAAAGGTGGAGCCCCTGTTTAAACACTGACTTTGAAGCTCAAGCTCTTAACATCTACTTGATGCCACCTCTTGTCTTTCCATGGAGAGTGTCAGTTTTAGAATGTTAGTACCTGGAGGACAGGTTCCAGATCTTGGAAGCAAAATTTGCATAGAGGACCTCAGAGTCTCAGGAACATTTGACACTTAATAAATCTCATCTTGCAGAGTGGAGGAGGTTTAACTATAACCATAATATTGATTTTGATGATAGACTGTCTGAATTTTCATTTTTAAAAATACTCAAGTGAAGTAAAAATATATCTTCCTTTAAACATATTCTTGTTTTTTAGCTAGATGAATTGATTCAGCGTGTCCATGTATGACCAACAGCTCTGCTGTGTTGGAACCTTTCTTTTTCTGTTGTTTTATCAGATGTCTGACCTGTCTGCTTTGCTTTTATACGTTGTGCTCAGTCCAGAAGGCAGGTACAGGTCATCTTACATATTATTTTTGTGTAGTAGATGTTAAATTAAAGATACTAATAGGGTGAACTCAGCAGAGTTCATTTGTTTGTCCTAGTACATGTTTTTTCTAGTGTTATCAACTTTTTCTTAATAACATTAGTCCCAGGCACTTTGTGGCAGTGATGCTGGCATTAAATTTAAACTGTGAGTAGTGTCTTAATCCTCGTAGACATTTCATATCTTCTAGCTCCATAGACTTGTCTCTGCCATTTTTTTAAAATTTTTATTTATTTATTTATTTTTCCCCCAAAGCCCCAGTAGATAGTTGTATGTCATAGCTGCGCATCCTTCTAGTTGCTGTATGTGGGACACTGCCTCAGCATGGCTGGAGAAGCGGTGCGTCGGTGCGCTCCCGGGATCTGAACCCGGGCTGCCAGTAGCGGAGCGCGCACTCTTAACCGCTAAGCCATGGGGCTGGCCCTCCCATTTTTAAATTAGATGCACATACTAGAATCAGCTAGAATGCTAGAATTTTATCTTTTTCCCCCAAATATAGAATAATTTAATAAGTAACTGTTAACCTTGCTTTTTCTATTTTTAACTATAGTACCAGAAGAAAACATTGCAACTATGAAGTATGGAGCCCAGGTTGTGAAAGGAGAGCTGAAGTCTGCCTTATTAGATGGAGATACTCAGAATTATGATTTGGATCATGGGTTTTCTAGGCACCCAATTGATGATGACTGCCGCTCTGGCATTGAGATTAAGCTCGGTCAGCCATCCATTATCAATCACATACGGATACTCCTGTGGGACCGGGATAGCCGGTAAGTCATTAGCATGACGGGGAGAGAAACTGACATTATGTTTGATTGAGATGGCTTAACTTTGTGGTTATCTACTTTGCTTTTACAGATTTGATGGTTTATTTCTTTGTGATCACTTTGCTATTTCTCTTGAAGTTTAGTTCAGGGGGAAGAGTTACAGAGTATATTCCTTTAAAAAAAATAACATTTTTGGCTTTTTTCTGCTTATCAAAAAAATAAATATATGTTAATTGTGGAAGACGTAGAATATATAGAAAAGCACAAAGAAGAAAATAAAAATTGCTATTAATCTCACCACCAATTAATCTTCGTATATATCTAACTGGTGTTTTTTTTGTTTGTGCATAGTCACGCAAATACACATAAAACAGAAACCTGTAAAACCATACATAGTTTTACAAAATAAAGGTTAGATGTGTAAAAAGCTAACTTCACTTTTTACTGACTACATTGTGAACATTCTACCATTTAAAAAATATTTCTCTAAAAGGTTACTTTTAATGATTGGTGTTCTACCATATGGATTACCATTATTTATTTACTTGATTCTTTACTTTTGGATACTATAGTAATTTTTTAAATGTATTTTATCCTATGGATAAGGAAGAAAATTGTCTTTTAGTGTGTGGATAAATATCATCTTCAAAACCAAAGAAATTTGTGAAAAAAATTTGGTGGGCTCCAGCCTAGGAACCCATCAAGTTTCGCAGTGGCTTCAAGATTCTGCCTCCTTCTAGCCACTCTGATACTTTCACCCGCTGTGGTAATTAGGGTCCAGCTGTGATGGCAGAAGGACCAGAGCAGTATGGGTGACCAAGAACTAAACTGTCTCTCTTACTCCTGCTTATCATTAACCTAAACTCCACCTCCCCAGAAACTGGCATGCAGGGTCTCCCAGGCCTCACTCATGCCTCTGAGGCTGGGCATGAAGGGCTGAATAGTAATGGTGATGATACCCTGCGAATCTTGCAGGTTAGTTCGATTCTCTTGTTAGCACCACTGGCTACCACCCTGGCCTTTTATGCCATTTGAGCCAAGTATGACGGAAGCTTTATGAAGTGAAATGGGAGTCAGCATTTCCCAAACGCATGGTGCTGAAGGTCCCCAGGTTATCTCTATCTTTCTTTTTTATTAAGAATATATTTCGTGATCTGTATCTTGATGGATAGAATATGATGTTTAGTTGGCAAAATGGAACTAATTCACGTACCATTTCCACCAGTCTCTGATTAATAATAACAGTATAATAATAATAATAATACTTATATAGCACTTTCATTACTTCAGTGTGGTAGGCACTGTTCTGGAAGCTTTATGTATATTCACTCATTTAATTAATAATGAAATTAGAATAAAAATAATAAAAGGTTAGTATGTTTGAAACTGAAAGTCGTTATCGTCGTTTTCATGATGTTAAATATTTATAGGCCACTTTGTTTTAGTATGTGCGTTACATTCACAGGGGATTTGACTTTACCACATAACAGTTCTTTTCTCACAGGAGTTATCATTCTAAGCAAAGGTGAAAAATTCAGAATCTTAAGCCAAAAAGATTCTGACATGTGTTGTAAAATTATATCCTGCATTACTGATAACCCAGAGAGGTTCAATAAAAGGTTATAACCAGTTTGAGATGGAGCAATAAAATGAATGGGAGTGAGGGGACAGCAGAAAATGAGAGGATGACACAAAATAAGCTGACCTTTTCTGGTCACAATTGTTGGTTGCTGGCTGACATTTATGGTCACCTAAATCTTCTGAGATTGTTCCTGTTGATATTACAGTACAAGTAATAACTGCACCTCAAATTTAAATGTGGCTTATGACAGGGCACTATAGAATTGGTCAGTGTGGGTCCAGCATGTAATGGTCCATGGTGGCTGACTAGAGAAGGGCGATGGGCTGTTTTCATTACTGCCAGATTATTAGCTGGCAAATTTTAAGTTGTACCCAAAAGAAACACGTATTATCTGTTCACCCATGTCATTTATGTTTCTGCAGGCTGCATGTATGTGTGGGATGGTAGGAGACAGGAAGGGAGCAGGAGATAAGCTGGCCTCTGTGGGGAACCATTCCGAGTTGGCTGTCCTCCTGACAGAGTAGGGCTGAGCACCCAGGCCAGGGAAGGTGGAGTGAGAAGGCACACCTCCTACTTCTCTATTTTCTGTCTTCCCTCTGTCATGGATTTATTAATCTGCTCATATGGTACAAGCAAGGCATCCTGGTCCTATTTGAAAAGGAACAAATGTCTTCATGCTGTTATGTGCCAAGCACTGTGCTCGACTCTGGATATATGAAGATAAATATGGCACAGTCCTTGTTCTTAAGCAGCTTGTGATCTAATAAGGCAGGCAAACATGCTGAGAGATCGTTTCAGTACATTGTGGTGAATGCTACAATGGATGGATCTATACAGATTTCGTCATTATCAGAATGGGATTGTTATGCAGAAAATGTAATTCGTGAATAGTGTATTTTTTGTACCTTTTAATGTTTTATGAAAGTATAACTTTGTGTTGTTCTTTTAATGTGGTGCTTTTTTCCTTTTGATTCACAGGTCTTATTCATACTTTATTGAAGTGTCCATGGATGAACTTGATTGGATCAGAGTGATAGATCATTCGCAATATCTGTGTCGTTCTTGGCAAAAATTATATTTTCCAGCCCGTGTCTGCAGGTTAGTTCTCATGGCTAATAAATGATTTTGATGTTTATTTTGAGAAACAGGCTACATTTTTCTGTCTTATGGAAGAAGAGTTTTTCAGGGTATCAGCTACCAAACGCATCCCAACTGGAAAACTTAGGGAAACTGTGGTAAACTAAGCATCTTAATATTTAGATGGTACTGTGGAACTATATCCAAGGTGTTTTGTACTGTATTTGTGTAGTAGACATGTAAGTGAATAAGCAGGGACAGGGAGCACTGGGAAGTGGAAATGCTGTTTAAACTCCACGCTGTACCTTGAAAGCAGACTTATTGTTAGGGGGTACGTTCTTCCCACAAAAGCCATGAATGATATTTCTGGAGGCTTCCCTGGCAGTCCTCAGAACCAGGAGGAGATTTTTTTTTCTTTCTTTTTTTTTTTTTTTTTGTGAGGAGATCAGCCCTGTGCTAACATTTGCCAATCCTCCTCTTTTTTTGCTGAGGAAGACTGGCCCTGGGCTAACATCCGTGCCCATCTTCCTCCACTTTATAGGACGCTGCCACAGCATGGCTTGCCGAACAGTGCGTCCGTGTGCACCTGGGATCCGAACCGGCGAACCCCGGGCTGCCGCAGCGGAGCCGAGCACTTAACTGCTTGCGCCACCGGGCCGGCCCCTGGGGGAGGAGATTTTTGGATGCCAGTGTGCATGTTCTAAATATCTGTGTTCTTTTTCAAGGTCAGTGGACATCAGTGGTGTTTGATAGAGCAGGAGTTTCTAGTGGGGTTGAGTTTGGGGCGAGGGAGGCTGAGATTGTGTGGGTCCAGGCTCATACCCTCCCTTCAACCAGAGCACCTTAGCTTTTGTTGTTGTTATTTATTGCAGCCCCATGTAAGTTCGTTTTTAAAAAGTACTGATAAGCTACTGTTCTGATATTTCATATTTTTCCTTTAGGTATAAGCCATCTTTTAAATGTTCTTTCTGAAATTCTGTGAAACCTATACGAATAATGAATTTGGGAGTTGAGAAAGGTGGTTAAATTTAGGCCCTCAAAATTCTGTTGTATTTTTTCTGTTGTAATTTTCCCCTTGGAAATTGCCCTCAGATATTCTTTACCTTAAAGTCAAAAGATCAAAGGCAGAAAATGATTGTTTCCTTTAGTCAGGTGTGGCAAGAAGAGAAGAGAAGGGATATGGTGGACGTAAACCAGAGAGAATGTGGACCTGGCCCCTCACCCACTCCCCTCCCCTCCCTACCCTCACCCATGACCCCTACCAACCTCACATTGTGGCTGCGTTGGAGCAGATGGAGATGCCCCACAGCACTTAACTCTCTTGGTCAGAAGACACCCTTATATTTATTAAACTCATGGTCTAACAGCATCAGGCTGAATTCTTACCTTCACCGCTGGAACTCCACAAAACCTTTCAGCCTCTGGCACTGTAAAGAATGTTGCCTACATTTTTTTATTATGGGTATGACCGGACACAATATTGTTGCCCAGGGATCCTCTTGTGTGAAAATGAAGAAAATCAATTTCATTTCCCCAAAGAGGGACTAAAGTGTCTCAGATCTGGCAGTTGCTCTTTTATCAGAGGAGTTTTGAATGGATTAAAATGAGAGGGACAAGAAATTGAGTGAGGATTCTATGTCTCAGAGTTGCCTAGGGATACTTTGCAAGTGACAGAGGGGCCCCGACGTGGAGGAGGAGATTGAGTCTGCATCAACTCAGGTTATTACAGTTGTATTAGGATTAAAAAGTAAGCAGCATAACAACCAAAGTGTCTGATGTGGACCGAAGGACTGTGTATTTGTATTTAATTTGAAACAGTAGGAACATGCCTCCCAGAACAAATCGTCATGAATATAATACCAGCCATGACAGAGTCTGTGTGCTTTACCCACCTGAAAACTCCCTTTGTGTGGAGGGAGACGTGTGCCCTCAGTCATGAGCTCTGGATTTTAGAAAAATATACTTGCTGTTATTTGTTAATGGGCATTGTTTATACTCCTCTTTCCTTATCTTGTCTCTCCCATGTGGCCTTGGCTTTGTTGAGGTAGCTTTTCTGTGTAGAGCCTAGCTGTATTCATGATGGTGGTTTTCATCTTGGAGTACCCAGCTTCCGACTCTGGTCAAGAAAAATTGAGCAGGGCTGGCCTCGTGGCTTAGCGGTTAAGTGCTTGCGCTCTGCTACTGGCGGCCCGGGTTCGGATCCTGGGCGCGTACCGACGCACCGCTTGTCAGGCCATGCTGAGGCCGCGTCCCACATACAGCAACTAGAAGGATGTGCAGCTATGACATACAACTATCTACTGGGGCTTTGGGGGAAAAATAAATAAATAAAATCATTTAAAAAAAAGAAAAATTGAGCAAAGCTCATATTAGAGATAGCAAGAATAGTGATAGCAAGAAAAGGAAGGAGTCTTGATATCCATATTAGTAAGAAAAAAATTTTTTAATATTTATAACCACTTTAACTTACTATATTAATTACATTCCTTTGTAAACTCTGCCTTTTGTAATAAGTTGGAATTTTGGTAGTGTTTAAAAATGAACCTAAGAATAAGCCCCTATTGATTATCCAAGGATGTCTTATACTTAGTGTTTCTTGTCTTAACAATCATTTATTGACTACCTAAACAATGTTCTAAATACACTTCTTCCAGGAACTTCACTGGGCACGTATAAATTCTTTATTTTCCTAGCACATAAGTGTTCAGTTTGCATTATGTTAGTTAATTTGCACATTCTTATATCACCTTTGTTCCTCACTGTCCTTTGCGTGTTTGTCTTGCCTCTGATACTAAAATTACAAGCTCTTGGAAGCAAGGAGTATGGATTCTAATCTTTTGGTATTCTTGCATGGTACTCAGGCTATGACCTCGTATGCAGTAGGTACTCTATAAATGTTAGCACAGGTTTCCTGGGGTCAAGGCACTGACTAGATAATGAAGAGAGATTGATTCAACATTAATATGTATATATATTCATTGGTACTTTTAATCCGTGTATTTGTTAAAATGTATATCAGTGCTGGAAAACTCTCTGGAGTGGTAAATGGTTCTATACTGTTTGCAAAGGTTACTTTCTGTTTTTTTTCCAAGAAACTAAATTTTGAGGTTAATCCTGAAGGATGTATGTGTCATGTATTTATGAAAGATTACATCAAACATATTCCGGGAAAAGGAGAGACTTTGTGAAGTGGGGAGTGTGAGATTTCCCAGCCCTCTCTCTGAGTCTAGGCAGAACTGCAAGTGAATCAGCATCGTGCAGTGCAAACCCATGGGCTGCGGAATGCGCTAGAGCTGTTCTCAAGCCCTGGCTTCATCTAATGCTGGTGGTGTGATCTTATAGTAAAACTGTGCCTCTCTGAGCCCTCGTGTCTATACCAGTGAAAAACGGGAATGGCAACACCCTTCGTGGGGTCTGCGATGGAGGGTTAGATGACATAGCATATAGACCAGTACTGAGCACAGTGCCTGGCCCAAAGCGGAGGCTTGGTAAAGAGTTTTTATTATTTTTTAAGTTGTTTATATTATTTTTTTCTAATTTCTGAGACTCTCAACTGGTGTTTGACCTTCAGAGAAAGAGAGCCATCCCTGCCACCCTTTTGGCTGTGGTGTCTCTCCCGGAGGAAACTTCCTTACCTCGGGCCTAGTCTTCTCCACACTTTCCCATATTGCCAGTCCATACATAGCATCCAAAACATGCCTTAAATGATTCTCTTTATCTGAATCACTTGGCCGTTTGTGTGTTTCCAGCAGTTTTTATATATTGTGGTTTTGGTAAAGCATTGTTTCATTGTGGTAAAATATATATAACATAAAATTTGCCATGTATATATCTTGTGGAATGTAATTCAGTCAGCATTTCACTTCATCAAGATAGCGGATGATGACTACTGGCAATAAGGATAATGTCAGGCGTCAAAGCCAGAGTGGTTGTTCCAAACATAGTGGTGAACAGAGAGAAATGATCTTTCTGGGTCCTTTTTAGGAATGCATTGTGGGTTAAGTGAGGACTGCTCTGTGTAGCCAAAAGCTTAGACTAATAACTCTTCCCCAGCCCCCAAGTGGGATGGAGAAAAGTGACTTATCAATTTCAGTACAATCTTGCATATGCACTCAGAACCATGTAATGTCTTACCAGCTTTCTCTTTCTTAGGAAAAGGCAATTTCTGCTTTAGCCATAAATTCTCCCACCTTCAAATTGTCTTCTTGGTTATCTAGTAAGTGCTCTTCGAGTTCTTCCACAGCTTTCTTGGGTGGTGGAGCCTAGGACTGAACAAAAAAACGCTAATAAAGAGTGACAAATATTAAGTGCCCTTGAGGTATTTTAAAAAATTTTCTAGCTGTTTCTCAACACGGTGCTAGTAATTTGGCAGCCATATAATATTGCTGAAATATGAGAAGACTTAAAAACATGCGTGTGAATGGGTAGAGGTAGATTTCAGAGCCTGTATGTGGTTGGTAGCTGGAATTAGAAAAGTGACCTTGATGTAAAACTTGGGAGTTGAGGGAAAGAAAGGAATAGTGGGCCTAAAAACAAAGTCCTCAAAAATACACCTGTTGAGAGGGGGAAGAAAAGAGGAGATGACAGACGTGTTTATTGCAAGGGCTGGTCAGAGAGATTAGAGGAGAATCAGGAGGAGCACGGTTTAATGAAGACAAGACCGGAAAGGGCGTTGAGAAGGAGGTGGCTTGATAATTTAGAACATGGCACAGGAGGTATGAACTCAGTTAACACAAGACTGGGCTTCTTTCTTTCCCTTTGTTTTTAATTATCAAAATGGAAATGATTTTTTTATGACATTTTCATTATAAAATTATAATGTAGTACACATTTTAAATATTGATAAAGCTTGCCCTCTGGAAATGTTGTATCCAATTTTTATCAATAGCACATAAAAATGCCCCTTTCTCTGAACCCTCACCAACTCAGGCATTGTCAACATTTTGCCAATGTGATTTATGATTTATAAAAAGTGTCTTATTTTAATAAGGATTTCTTTTATCATTAGTGAGGTAGAGTGT